GAATTAAAGAATCTTTAGATTAGCTCTTTAATGAGGCAGTCAACACCCAGTTGATCTGTCGTTATTTCATTTTTAAACATTGGTCTTTGTAGAATGCTTCATTGGCACTTACCCGTATTATTAAGTTAAAAAAATACACAAATCTTTATCTTACTTGTCAAGAAATTAAATACATTTTAGAAATTATTTATCCATTACATAAGCAATATACAGCTATATCCTTTTTTTTTTTTTTTTACGTTAGATTGCTTATGTGGTTGAAAATAAGTAGGTAAACCTATTTCAAAACCTGGAGCTGTATGTATAGCTCAGTGGTAAAAGCATATGCCTAGCACACATGAAGGCCTGGGTTCAATCCCCAGCACTACCAAAACAAAGCAAAATAAAATACTCCGTGTGTGTGTGTGTGTGTGTGTGTGTGTGTGTGTTTGGCACTAATTATTTTAATAAGTATAAAATATTGCTTGTAGCAATTTAAAATAAGTGTATTTCAGAACCTCCCGTTCTCACCAAGGATAGGCCGCAAAACCAGTGGAACTGGAAGACTTTAATTATATATAAAAAAAAGCATGTTAGATTTAAGGGTTAAGAACAGAAGTTTAGAAAATTATGACTAGGGGGCTGGGGATTTAGCTCAGCGGCACAGCGCCTACCTGGCAAGCTCAAGGTCGTGAGTTCAATTCCTGGTACTGGAAAAAAAACAAAAAAAAAAAGAAAATTATGACTAGGGCTGTATTAGTCAGTTTCCATTATTGTAACAAAATACCTGATTTTAGCCCATGATCCATCGAGCCTGTTGCTTTTGAGTCTGTGTGGTGAGGTGGCAGCAAATTATAGCAGAAGTGCATGGAAAAACCATCCATTCCACCATGGCCAGTATGTGAAAGTCTGACAGGAAGGGGCTGGATTCCCACCATCCTCTTCAAGGGCACACCTCTAATAAAGACCTCGCATTAAATTCTAGCTTTTACAGTTTCCTCCTACTCCTAATAGTGCTAGGGAAAAGAGACCAAGCCTTTTCAGGAGGGCTTTTGAGGGACACCTGGACCAATGCATGGGTCCAGTGTTTGTGTTTGATCAGATTATCTTCTGGCTCTTGCCAAGTTGTGATGAGCAGAAAGGAAGTCTTGCTGAGCAGAGATAGAAAAGGATGAGGCAGTTAGCCTTGGACTCAGAGAATGGTTTGGGAATATTGAAAAGGCATTTGAACAGTTCTTCACCACCAAAGTGGTAGCAGAGGGAGCCAGGTGTTTTTGCATGGTCTTCCTTCCTTTTAGCTAAGGCCTCCTTGGGTTACAGCTGAGTAAGTGACCGATGAGCCAGTGACTGTAATTCCTTTCCCTCCTTGCAACTGGCAGTGGTCTTGTGCCTGAGCCCTGACTGATGGGAAGTGAGTAGAAGTGGTGTGTACGTTTCCTGCAGTAAGTTCCAAGGAACTAGGAGCTTGCCATCCTCCTCTTGTTTTTTTCTTTTTTGCTAGAAAATGATAAAAACCTCACAGACCTATCTTGGACCCATAGATGGAAGTCGTACGATGGGGAAGCTGATGCCACCCAGACCTGAATCATTTACTGAGGGAGCAGCATGAGAGAGACTAACTTCTGTCTCATCTAAACCACTGCCTCTTGGGTGTTATGTGTGTGTGGGTCTCTGTTCCAGCAGGTTAACTTATGTTTATCTGAATATAATTCATGATTCTAAAACGTGGAGAAAATGATTTAGAATCATTATTTTGACATGAAACACCAGAAATGGAAACAGCATGCACTTCTTCAACTGGGTTGAAAAATTTTTAAGTGAATTTAAGTGCGTGTGTGATAGGGGCTGGAAGGAAAATTACAAATTACTTTGCAAGGTGAGAGATTAGTAACACCGTTTAGTAGCCATATCTATATGTGTGGATGCTTAGGTTTCTTTAAAAATTGCTCATAGACAAATGCTGTACAATGTTTTACTTATAATAGCTGGGAACTGAGCTATTCATGTTTTTAGCTGTTACTTTTTCTACAAATCTTGCTCTAGGTTTATGGACACCAAGATGTATGAGGATCTCGTAATACTTATGTTTTGTCAATGTGAGAAAGGTACACAACTGAATAGAATAGCATGTTATATGATTTTTTTTTTTTTTTTTTTTTTCTGAGACAGGGTCTTGCTGGATAATGCAAGACTCGCTTATGTAGCCCAGGCTGGCCTCAAACTCACAGTGATCCTCCAGCCTCAGCCTCCCAAGTGCTAGGATTACAGGCATTGTCAGCATGCCCGGCTGTTGTATTTTATCTCTAACTATAGGAAGACTTGGTGTAAGAGACTACTTTATGATAGTTTGCCTACATTTTAGGAATCAAGGGAAACTTAGGAACTATGAGCTTATACATCCCTTTCTGTAAACAAACAGAGTAAGTTTGCACTTAATAAGTATACCACTTGTGCGTATTTCAGCTTGTTGTTTTGTTTTTTTTTTTTTTTTGGTTTTTCTCCGGTACCGGGAACCGAACTCACGACCTTGCGCTTGCCAGGCAGGCGCTTTTGCCGCTGAGCTAAATCCCCAGCCCCTCAGCTTGTTGTTTTGGACTAAGTATCCCGTATTGGTAAAATGGCTGGTACATAAAGAGAAATAACCGGTTATTGGTGAGGCACACCTATATTTCCACCTACTCAGGGTCCCAAGTTCAAGGCCAGCCTTGGCAACTTAGACCCTGTTTCAAAAATAAAACAAGGGCTGGGGATATAGCTCAGTAGTAGAAAGCTTACCTTGTGTGCATGAAGCCTTGGGTTCAGTCCCCAATATCACTAAATAAATAAGTAAACAAATAAATGCTTTTTTGTTTTGTCAAGAAGCTCTGAGTGAAGGAAATGGTACCAAGTACCGTGTTTACCACAGTGACAAAAACCAAAACGCTGAAGTAATTCTGGGCAGGTAAAGCGACAGGCCTATTTGAAAGAGTTGGTAATTCAGTGGATTACTGAAAAACTGTGGTGGCCCAGTTAACTGTGCAGCCAGAATAAATGAAATCTTAAAACATGAAAAAGTAGCTTCCAGGTGGATGAAGGTTTTAAACAGGAATTGAAACAATAAATCTTAAAGAGACTTCGTGTCTAATTCAGGGGAGAGAAACATTAGCCAAAGCTCTTAGTCCAGAATCTATTAAAAAAAAGATGGATTTACTTCTCAACATAACAAAGATTTCAATGGTGAAAATTACCATGAACAAAATCAGTGTCCCTAGAATGGAGTTAGAGGGGTGGTTAGGATTTCTATTTCTAGTATACCAACAGTTCTTAAAAATTTGACAAGTCACCAGTAGAAAAAAATGGACAGAACACATTCCAGTAGCTGATTCTCAGAAAAGCAAATCCAGAATGCCAGCAGACACGTGAAATAATGCTGAGTGCAGCAGCGAGAGACACTATAAAAAATTAACACAACTTACCTTCGTGATCTCACAGTTCCCTTGTGTCGGCGTCAGGCCTGGCTCTGAGTCCTCTGCGTAGGGTCTTAGAAGGCTGCAGCCGAATTTTTGTTGTGTGTAAAAAATAAGTGTTGGCGATTGCACTCCTTTCTGGAGCTCACGGGCCTCCTTCAGACTTACATAATTGTTGGCGAAATTTCGTTCCTTGATGCTGTAGAACTGAGGCCCCTGCTTTGTGGCTGGCTGGCAGTGGGGGCCAGCAGCAGAGTTCAGAGTTCTCCACAGGTGCTTCCACGCAGCCTTCTCAGGCCGCCTCGCCACGTGGCATCTTACTTATTCAAGACTGGGGTGAGGCACTGACTCTCGCCCGACAGTGGTGGCAGTGACTGTCATGTCCCTGATGCCATATTCATCTGGACAGAAGCAAGTCGTGAGGTGCATCCCGTGTAGTAACGTGACTGCTTGATGGTCATTTTAGAATCTTTTTTATCAGTCACTTTAAATCCACAAAGCTGGAAAGTAGAGGGGGAGAAGCAGCTATTACATTTAGTACCAGGCAGGGTGGGAGGTGTGTTTAGAAAAGGGAGCTTCTATCCCTGACTATTAGAAAGGAGAGTTATTGTAGCCTTTAAATAAAGTATTTAGAAAACCAGATAGACTTTTGAGCCAATAAATCCACTCTTGGGAATCTTTTGTAGCAATAAAGCTTCCAATATCCAAGGACATATGGCAAGGACATTTTTGCAGCACTATTAGCAGCAGCAGAAAAGTGGAAGTGAAGTGAATGTCCATCAGTAGGGGGCGTGGTTGGATAGAGCTTGATGCATTACAGAAAATCAGCCCCGACCAGTTGCCTTAGGCGTGTGCCGGAGGTAGTGCTGAGTGAGAGGTGTGTGCATTTGTGTGACCCTGTGTGGTCACACGTGGGTACGGAGAAACTGTGAAGTGACCCGTACTAGATCTTCCGTGTGGGGAGTCTGTTGATGAAGACGAAGGGTGCAAAGTAAGCGATGAAAAAGCTGCAGAGAAACCATGTTGAAAAGGAACATTCTTTTCTCATAAGTCTGCTATGTGTGATATAGTCACATTTGTACAGTTATGTGAAACTTCATATGGGTAAAGAATAATAAATATTTTACCCTTAATACTGATTAATATATGGGAATGTCCCTGTACCTTTATATAGAACTTTGAAAGTGGATAGTATTTTCCTAGAGCTTTATTTGGGATTCCTGCTGTCAGAATGTATTTATTATCTTTATTTTAAAGGCAGTAACTGTGGCGTTTAAAAACCTTAACTACAGAGCAGTGTAGCGTAAGGGGGTGGTGCAAAAATGAAGAATAACTGTTGTTTAGGAATGTCTCCTTTGGTCCCACTAGGATTTGAACAGAAGCATTACCCTTACTAAAGTTGTAAAATCTACTTTTTAAATTGTATATCTACTTTTAAATTATATATACGAGTTAAATAGAAATAACTTCTATTTTAGTTTCTATATGCAGAATTCTAACTTTGGCAAGTCTTCTGCTTTGGCAGCTTTACAAAACTGAGTGGGACACTTAAATTTTAAATGCATTTTCTTCTAGTGTCTTTTTCTGAGGAAGAGAAATATCAGCTGCGAAAATTTGTCAATAAATCTTACCTGTTGGACAAGAAAGCTCATCGTCAAGTGTACTACAGTTTAATTGATATCCTTCTGGCCTACTGCTATGAAATCCGTGTCACTGAGGGAGAGAGGAATGTAAGTGCAAGTGTGCCTGTGTGTCCGGGGAGACCACCGCGCTAGTGACACTGCGTGACAGTGTCAGCTCTCCTGTCCAGAGCAGAAGCTGTTGGGATTCGTTACTCTGTGGATGACCCGGAAAGAGGCGGCTGGGGTGGAGGGGTGGTGGTGGCACCCGGTGTATAAACACTGCGCTTACGTGGTCTTCTCCTCTTGTCTCTTGGCATTTGTCACTACCAAATATCAGAGCAGCGGTGTTTAAGGAAGGAAAGCTGAGGACAGAGAGGCCTGCCTGAGCTCTCATCTCTTTTTTAGGCCATAGCAGGCTGTGTCACGTGACACCTAATGTTGGCAAGGGTGTCCACTGCTATGTGCATTTGTATTCTCTCTCCAAGCCACTGATCATCACGTGCAAATTGCAGTGTTTTACCCAGAGAAAAGGAATCATAGAATTTAACTGCACGTGTCTCTCTATTCATACAGGATGTATGCTATTAAAAAACTGTGTAAATCAGATTTTTAAAAACTTTTTTGCTGTTAAAAAGACTTACAACGCTAAATCTTTCTGTGAAATAAATTACTTCTTAAATGATCTTCTAAACATAATATAGGCTTTATTGTATCTTTTAAATCATACTTGATTTTTCAAATAAAGAGTTAAACTTCTTTCTCACCTGGATGACTGATGGTATGTTACAGAAGACTGGAAAAAAGTCTTTCTTATTAGTACGGCCCTGCAGCTGTTTATAATTGTGCACTCAAAGAGCTTTCACTTTGGCATATGCTTCCCTGTGGTTGAACTGCAGAAGTACTGTAATTTATATCATTGTAAAGGAAAATACACACATGAGGAAAATAATTAAAATGTCCTGTAGTTTCAGTATTCAAAATAACTGCTGCTAGAAGGTGATACATCTCTTTCCAGTCTTCTTTTAGTGTGCATGTATGTGTACATGTGTGTGTATTTATGCCGGGTTATGACCTTGCTGTTTAATCTTTTTTCGTTCAGCATGCTAGCACTAGCGTAATATTAGAATCAGAATTTGATTTGTGCCATTTTTTTATTGTCATGATTCTGAAAATTTCTTTTTTTTTTTGATTCCGAAAATTTCTATAAAGTGATGCTTGAGGTTTGCCTTTGGCTCTAAAATGAGTGTTATTGAGGGTATCAAGGATGTAGTAACCTGAAAATACTTTGTTTTCATTCATTTTGTGAAGACACTATAGTTGGATAACATGTTTTCTTTGACAGAAAAGTGCATCGGCATATTATTGCGTTTGTGGGGGTGTACCTGACAAAATTTAGCATTTTTTATTCTTCACTTTGCATGTTTTTTTTTTGTTGTTGTTGTTTGCTTATTTTTCTTCCGGTACCAGGAATTGAACTCACGACCTTGCGCTTGCCAGGCAGGTGCTTTGCGGCTGAGCTAAATTCCCACCCCCTCACTTTGCATGTTTGAGATTGTTTCACCTTTGAGAATTTCTCTAGGATGTCAGTCTCACAGGTATTCTCTGAAAGTCCAAATTCTTAAGCAGTTTTTAAAGTCCCTAGGCACTTCTTGAATAGTAAGTAACAGTGGAAAGGGACAAAAATTGAGCATCATTTCGCTTTATTTTTAGTTTCAAAGCCAGTGCTTACTTGCTTTTGTCTTCTGATATTCTTATCAGTAGGAAATTTTTATTTTATGAAATCCCAAGTAAACAGGAATTTCTCTCATGTAGGGTGTAGATCAGTAAAAATAATTCTTTTTCTACAGTCATAAATACTTCTTAATGCTTGTACATATTAGTACTACTTAGACTACTTTAGGTAGATACCTGCGTTTTATTTTCAAATGACTTTACCTCTAAAGATGATGATACTCTTTTCTACAAAACAGGTTGAGTCTGCGTGGAGTATCAGAAAACTGAGTCCAACACTGTCCTGGTTTGAGGTAAGATTTCCAGTTGCAATTGCTTTGGTTTTTGTTGTTCAAAAAGTTAGTTTTCTGTTGTCATTGCTTCATTTTGGATAATTGAAGCAATGCTTTGATTTTTTTAAAAAGTGGTAGCTTTGTTACATAGAAGCTTTGTTTTTGTCTCCAATGAACTTATGATAATGAAGCCAGGTAAGTAAGTATTTTGGTAAATGGGGGAAGGAAATACACTTTTTTTTTTTTTGGTACTGGGTATCGAACTTAGGACATTGTGCTTGCAGGCAGGCACTTGTGCCACTGAGGTATATCCCTGGCCCAGGAAATACACTTTAGAAGAAAAATGCAGACATATTTTGTTGGAGAGTGTGGGGTAGACTTGGAGGTGTATTTGTAAATTGGCAGATACTGGGGCTCAGAGCTCAAGGACGGGAGACAAGTCTAGGTGACAGTGGGCCACCAGGGCCTGTGCTGAGCGTTTTGTATCCATAACTTCACCTGCTTTTCCCAAGTCTGGAGGTGAGCATTGCTGATTTACAGATGAGGAAACTTCAATCAGATAGCTTTAGTAACTTACCCTGTAAATGGTACGGTTAGAGATGATACCTTTTTAAATATAGTGATTATTTTTATATCTGTTTTCCAGAAAATAGTTGTACGGGTCTCAACAAAAATATCAAAGGATGACATCTTTAAATTTTCTAGTTTTGAACAAACTGTTGTACATCAAAATAGTAATTAAAGATAGAATAACTGATAATGATAGCATCAAGTTATAACAGTTAGTATTTTAAGTTGTAAAGCGTCAAGGTTATTTCATGGCATCATTTTGTTCCGTGAGGAGGAAGGCTGTGAACAGGTCCTGAGACAGTTTCTTCATGAGAAAGTCTTACCCCTAAGAGTGCGCCCTGGGGCAGCAGCCTTAGCTGGGAGCTTGTTGGAAAGACAGAAGCTTGGTCCCTGCAGCCCGGCAGAGTCAGAAGCTGGGTCTCCAGGTGGTGTGCATTTGTGTTGCGCCTGAGGAGGGTTTCTCTCCCGTCTTCACTTGCGCTCCACCTGTGGCCACGTTCAGCATAAAACAGGCAAAATAGAATTTTTGTCGCATTTGTACCAATTATTATGTTGAAAGTAGTTGGTGACTAGATCATGTTGTAGTTATTAAAATCTACTTGAAAACTTGGCTGTTTATAATTTTACTTTGAAATTTTTATGATTTTAAAATAATTTAGGATTGTCAAACATTAATGGCTATGTTAAATTTCTATAAGTATTTAGGTTTTGCTAGAATTTTTTTGAAGCTCATAATTCTGTTTAGATACAAAATAGTCTTTGTCAGATACTTAGTATACTTGACGAGGGATATAGCTCAGTGGCATAGCGCCTGCCTGGCAAGCATGGGGTCATGAGTTGGCTTCCCAGTACCAAAAAATAAAACAAAACAAAGCAAAACTTAGTATACTAAGTCATCTCTCATACCATAAGTGATTAAAATATATGGAAATTATCTTGTTCCTTTAGTATTAATTTTATGTTTTGTTTTACATATGATTTACATTTTTATACTTTCCTTACCAAAAACCAGTTAAATTGCATAAAATTTTTTCTTTCTAGTGTATTTTAGGGGTTGGGGTTACTGGCAGTCAAACCCAGGGCTTGTACATGGTAGCAGGTGTTCTACCACTGAGCTACACCACCAGCCCATGTCTAGTGTTTTTACTAAGTTTTGAATTGCTGGTGGTATCAGTTAGATACCTTTCAAGATAAAATACTTTTCCTCAGAAATCAGTTACAGTATTTTCTCTGTGATAAGTAAAACCAAATTACCGAAGTAAAGAGTCAGGTATAGGTCATGGCTAAAGCGCATATTAAAAATTTTTAGGGCCAGGCATGGTGGCATACATCTGTAATCCCAGCACTTGAGAGGCTGAGGCAGGAGGATTGCTGAGAGTTTGAGATCAGCCTCAGCTACACAGTGAGTTCAAGGCCAGCTTGAAACTACCTAGCAAGACCCTGTCTCAAAAACAGTGCAATACAAAACAAAAAATACATAAAAATATTTCAAAAAGGAGGGCAGAGATTGTCTATCAACATACTTTACTAAATGGTTCTTGTATATCCTTGATCTGTGCCATCTTGAATAGCCCTAAAAGACAACACACATGAAACAGGTATCGTTTAAAAAATGTCTTTTCTCTACATCTGTATTTTGCTAATGGCCATGTGTTTTAGCTTATTTGTAATACTTGAGACTCTGAAACTTTCCTGCTACATATGTGATTTTTAAGGAGCTTTTGAGATAGCTTTATATACAATGAGAAATTACAGACTGTGTTGGGATATTTTATCGTGAGGTGTACAAAAAGAATCTCATTTTCTGGTTTTTTATTTCCTTTCTAATTGGCTTTCTGATGATCCAAGTTTATTGTTTTTAATTGAAAATAGTTTCTGGTTTTATTGGGCACGTTTGTTCGTGTGACGTGTTTTATGGAAATGACTTCTTATTAAAATGACATTTCACAGACTTGGACTAATGTTCACGAAATCCTGGTGGCTTTTGGAAGAAGAGTTTTGTGCTACCCCCTTTATCGTCATTTTAAGCTGGTAATGAAGGCACACAGAGATGCCGTAAAGATACTGCAGCTGGGTAAGACATTATGCTTGCAAATTTGGGACTGAGAAAGTTGTAATGTTTTAGTATGTGAAGACATAATCATAAGTTTTGCTTTTTTCTATATATAAATAAGTAATGAAAATGATCAAATCCAAACCTGTCCCCCAGCTACATAAAGTAATCATCCCTCTAAATAGATATGAGCACAAAGCTGTGATACTCTTCTCAGAGAAATGGCTAGGATAGATGGCGGAAATATACACAGTATTCCAAACCACTTTATTTTATGGTGGATGACTTTATTCAGTATTTCTTGGGTACCTGTAGTTGTTAGGCACTATGGTAGGACTACGGGTATAATAATAAAGAAGACAGACAACTTCTGTGCCCTGAGGAAGTCAGTTTTATCAGAGAGACAGATGATAAATAAGTCAAACTTCCAGGGTAGAGTGAGATGTGCTCTGGAGGGGAAGTTCAGGGATCATTTAGGAGGGAACTGGTCACCTAGACTTGGATGTCAAGAAGGACTTTCCACAGAAAAGCACCACTACTCCGAGGACTTTGTTAAGTGCAGCCTGAGAAGATAAATACTTGCTAACATTAAAGATGTGGACAATTTCAGGGCCTAAAACAAATTCCACAGTGCCCGTAACGGCATCGTTAGAGTAAGTATGCAGTTTCTAAGGCAGTGACTTTGAAGAGGGCACCACCCATTTGTGTGGCTTCGCTCTGGCACATTTACTTAAAGGTCACTTTGGTGTCTTATGTTCATTCTTGGTCCCCCCATGGGGTCTTTTCTTTTGTCCTTAGATTAAAAGAAAGTTTCTGGGAGCTTGGTTTTTAGACTTCAGGATAAGAAGGGGACAGAAGCGAAGTTGATCTTTCTATATTTAGGTGACTTCACTAGCTTAATGGGGAGAATTACATCCTTAGTGTTCAGCCTGCCTCAGGGTGTACCTAGGTGTTTCTTCTATTTGAAAGTAGTTTTCTTGCTCTGTGGAGGAAAAATTGTGTTTGAAGTACATTCTTTTAAAGGAGACAATAATTGTAAAAATAAATCATAGTTAAATGAAAGATGCCTCATTATTCATCGAGTTGATTTAGAACAGCTGCATTTTATTGTGAAGGATTGTCGGTTATAGGATAAAAGAGCCACTATCATTGAGAAATCTATCTTCTTTAGCTTAACAGTGGGAAGCAAACTGATTTTTTGGTTTTTTTTTTTTTTTTTTGTATGTGTGTTATTTCTTCTTGCCTTCCATACAAGATACTTCTTAAATTGTGAAAATTACCTTGAAAAATCAATCTACTGTAAATGACTGATTGTTGAGCTTGAGCCTCACATCACAATTAATTTCTTCTTTATGTCACACTAGATTATCTGGGCATTACTCATAAACAGTGGGATGCAGTTTGTGATTATCTATTACATCATGGCTTGCAGAGGGAAAACAGCAGCACAGCCTTCGTGTACACTTTGCCCACACACTCACTCGCACGTGTGAACTACTACATGTAACTTTTTATTCTGGGAAATAATCTAATTCTGTGGGGTTTTATTTGAAAAGTAATCAGTTCTGTGATTGCATAACCAAAAATAAATTTGATCGCTTTGACTTCTACACTAATCAATTATTCAAACAGTTTTAGTGGGTCAGAATTGCAGTTGAGACTTAACTTTGCATCGTTATCACTCTGGCAAGAAATAATCTTATCAGCTGTATTACGATAGCAACAGAAAACTTGAAATAACACACTATAGGCCTTGATACTAAAAATGAATCCGAATCCTCTCGAAGCCACACACAGTAGCTTCTGTGACTAATTTGGGCTGTGGTTAGTGCAAGAAGCTGGAATGTCTAGAATTCGTGCCCTGAGCTGTGAAGACGACACATTCCGCATGAGGATTGCAGTCTGTGTTTGTGCAGGTGGATGGCGCAGGGATGCCATTATTGTCACTGAAGAGTCTCATTTGTTTGGACACCCCGTAATTTCAGTGGTGGTAGCTTTAGCTTGGCATGTCGTGTTTTCCAAGAATAAATTCATGTCTACTTATAATTCAAAATCATAGCATTCAGTTTTATTACAGAGGCCAGTATAGTGCTTCCATAGTTGAAAGTAATGAATAACTCATTTTCCCTCAAAGAAATATTGATCTGAAATGGAATGAGCTTCCAAAACCAACGTGAAATGCTTCAGAGCTACTGAGTATTTCATTAGAACTGATGGACTAAGACAGGGGTCTCCAAAGGACTATGGATTTGCTCTATCGGACTTCACAGTAGCCTTTACAAGGACCCTTTCCTCAGCCTTTGGCTCGTCTCAGGTTTGTACATCTTCCTTTTCTCCTTCCCCTCTTCCAGAGGCTGTGTTTAGCTTTTCTAGTTGCTTTATGTTTAATCCAAACTCCTGTAAGGTCAGGAAGTGCAGCTTTTGCACCTTAAGTCCTTTGTGCTCAACCAAGGCGCTCCGTCAGTCTTCTTGGGGCACACGATTCCCCCTTTTGTCTTTTGTCCCTGTCTCAGCAGCAGCATGAACTGCTGTCTTGGTCACTTCCTCACCGCTGGGACAAAATTCCTGACGCCTGCAACTTAAAGGAGAGGTTTTTCCGGCTCCCAGGTTTTGGTTCGGTTTGTAGCTGGCTGGCTTCAAGGCGGGAAGGTCGTGGTAACTGAATCTGGTGGAGGAAAGCTGCAGGGAGAGGAAGGGGGGTCAGGGAGGGAGACAGGCCCTTCCAGGTCACGGCCGTGACCCACCTCTTTGCACTGGGCCCTGTGTCCTAACAGCACACTCAGCTGTGACGCCCCTCTGATCCGGACACCTTCCAAAAGCATCACCACTGAACTTTTGAGGCTTTGGGGGACAATCTAGGTCTAAACCACAACTGCCTCATCCTTTTTCCATTCTTCTGTGAAGAAGGGGTAGAACCCTTCATGGAAACATCTGTTAAGTGCTGTTAGTTGGAAACAAAAGAAGGATTGAAAAGAGAAGGGCTTCTCTCATATATCTTCAGAAGTCTTGTTCCATTTGTAAGTGACAAGTCTTACAGTTTAATAATTGATCGTAAATTATTTATGCCATTTACTGAGTATTTGTACTGATACCTGAATCTTGTTGATTTCATAAGGTATTCCACATCCCACTCCTGTGGGAGAGGCTGAATGTGCTGAGGTGGGAGGGAAACAACAGCTTAATTTTCTTGTACTTTCCATTTTGAGTTCATTCTGATTTTGTTTTTTGGATTGAATATATATCTCCTATAATAGATACCCTATAACTTTTTCTATCACTTTACATTACAAACAAGTTTTCTCACCACTTCTAGTTACAAAAAGAATCTGATTTTAGTACTTAAAATGTTCTCTTGGAACTTCATTTGAAAAGCAAACCTTGGCTTCCTTGGGTTGGAAGCCAACGGCAGTGAGGAGTCTGCTCTGTCTGTGGTGGGAAGTACCACCCGCTTCCAGAACATTCCCTCCCACTCAGCTGCAGTGCGGCACACCGCTGCTTCTGGCTTCCTGATGTCACCCACCAATCCTGTACCTTACAGTTAAGATTGTCATGGCAAGTACATTGTATTGGTTAGCTTTCTGTGGCTGGGATGAAATACCTGACAGACACAACCTTAAAGGAAGAGAGGGCTTATTTTGCATCACAGACTCAGAAGTTTTAGTCCATGGTTGGCTGGTGCCAAGGCAGAAGAATCATGGTAGAAAGACAGGGTGAAAGAAATCTGGTAGCAGATTTCTACCAGATTTCGCTTGGTAGCAGCCAGGAAACTGAGAGCAAGGGAAGAGCCAGAGAGGACGGGACCAGGGGCCAGATATAGTGTCCTTTACTAACGTCCTAGGTGCCTCTCAGGCCAATCAAGTTGATAGTCAAGATCATCCATCACAGAGATTGTACTCTTGGTTATCTTCTCATTGCTGGGGCACAATACCCAACACCCACAAGTAGTTCAGCTCACAGTTTGTAGAGGTTTCACTCTGTAGTCAGCTGGCTCCAAAGCAGGGTGGCCTGGCAGAGGGGCATGGCAGAGGAGAAACAGTTCATGGCATGGCAGGCAGGAAGCAGCAGCCTTCCTCCACCTTTTCCTTTTTATTCCATCCAGGCTACAAAGCCTAGTGGTTGGTCTCATCCACACCCAGAACTATGCTAAATCAGTGAGTGGCCTAATTCCGTATCACACTTCTATGATCCAGTCACCTCCAAAAAGCCCTATGTATGAGTGCCTGAGGCTTTGTGAGGAGGTCTAGATATAAGCCATGCCAGCCTCTCTTAGGGCTTCTTTCTAACAGTGTATGTCTTTAGTACCTGTTTCATCTGTGTGAGCTCAGGGGAAATGAGTCTAACAGTGTCTGTCTTCAGACTCTAGTGCAGTAGTCACAACCACAGCTGCCATGTATTAGCTATACTCTGTATCTTAGCATTTTCTCAGACACCTCCTTCTCATGTTTTACTCCTAATGCAGTCCTGAGAGGCAGGAATGACTGTCCCCTTTATTGCAGACAGAAGGCACTCTAATACCCGAGTAGGGCATCAACAGTTAGATATTAGAGCCGGAATGTGACTCTGCATCTGTCCCACTCAAAAGTCTGTGCCCTTAGACTTAATTGAAATCATTATAGGAAGTCTGAGATTTGCCTCAAAATAGTCCACAATGGGCTGTGGGGAAATTAAGTGGGTTGTAGCTTAAACAAATGTGGCCATGAATTAATACTTGCTGACTGGGCAGTCAGTATGTGGGATTCATGATACAGTTCTCTTTATTTTTTGTATGTTGTGATTTTTCCTGCATAAGATGTTGCCGCCTGCTGCCCCCCTAAGTCTAGGCTCTTAATCACTCTGCTACTGTGTTTCAAATTTAAATCTATCCACTGTAATGTGGAGGGTATAACTGAATGTTTGGATAGTTGTATACATTTTTTTGGCTAATAAAAACGTATACAGCTAGTTATTTTATTCTGTCCTTTGTGTGCTTTATTTTGTTGAACAAGGTCTCATTGTGTAGTTCAGGCTGGCCTTGAACTCGC